CACACACACACACACACACACACGCGTGTTTCATCGTGGCAGGCGTTGCCTTTAGTAGAAAACTAATGGTATTAATAACAGCAACATATTTTTAGCACTTTTACTCTGTGTGTGAGCGCGTCTACGCGAATGTCATGCCGCCTTGTGCAAGAGATCGAAAACGATGGCTTGGTAAATGATAAAGGCAGAAGGGTCGCTTCCGACTCCCGTCTTCGACGAAACATGTGCTCTTTCAGGCTTTCTAATGTATCTGTTCAAGCCACTACCGCAGCGTGTCAACATTCTTGTCCTGTCTCTTCTCAAATCTACTTCTTTGCATTGGCTTCGAATACTGCCTGCCGTCACGTATATATATTGCTAAGGGAATATAAAAACACTTTCTTACTAGTACTGTTAACCGGACGATAGTGCGGAGGACGCGACAACATCAGCAGTATTTATACAAAGAGAAAGAAGGATTCGCGTCACGATGAGTCAGCCACAACAGATGGAGTCGTCACCGCAGCACTCGTTGAGCACCTCCGCCGCGGTTCAGTCCTCCGTGGACGGACTTCCTGAGTGGTGCACAAACGAATTTCGTGAGCGCTACCGAAGAGGCGAGGTTCCACTGTTTGGCTGCTACGATCCAGTTTACCTGCGGCAACCCTTTCGACCTGCGAGCGAGTCTGCAGGACTGCTTCCTCCTTCCTCTTCCTTCTTCCCGCCCTTCTCCTCCCTCGTGCGGCGCTTCGCGAGTGCGAGCGATGCTGCATCCAGCACGGCCCCAGAAGCGAAAGATGACGGCGAACAGGACGCGAACGGTGATGTTGCGGGGTCGGGCTTTGGCCGTGCACGTCCCGCACACAGCTGGGAGCACATCACCAGCGCGGAGGATCTGTGGAATGGGCCACCGCTGACGACGAAGATTCCCCCGGCGGGAGATTACGAGCGTATTCTGCTGGATCGCCCGTAAACCCCCTGAGAAAAGGGGTGGAGCGCTTTGCACGTTGCTGCTGCTGTGCGAAGACCGCGCTTTGTGAGGCGGAGGTTGTTAACAACGGTGGAGAAAAGAGAAGCGGGTTAAAAAGAAAAGAAAATCGCGGACTGCGTGCCAACGCGGATGCATTTATCAAAAACAACAAGAGCAGCAATGGAAAGCTGTTTCGACTTTCAAGGGAGGAAAAGAACAAAAAACTGGAAAGCGATCTTGTATGAATGCTCATGTCGGTGTCCGCCATGTAAAAATGCAGTTTTTAGAGCGGAGCGCATCTCTACGACGTGAAAGCCTTTGTCTTTGCGGCTGACGTTTGATCAATGTGTTATTCTTTTTGGTGGTGCGTTGGCCCTCCTTTTCTTACTCCCTCTCTCTCAGGTATTAAACTGTTTTGAATTGCCGTAAGCGGTGTCGTCTATTACGTGTCACGTGGTGCACACATCCGTTGCATTAATAGACCTCTTTCCGGACTTATTCGTGCACACGCACACGCGCTTTCAGAGAAACAAACGTGCTAGGAACAATTAGCGAAGTAGATAGGGTCGTTCACCACGCTTGACACACGTCTGGCTTTTGCTAAATTGATTATTCGCTGTTTGCACCGACAACGAGCACCTTTCATTCGTGGTTAGCAACTCAAATTCTTTTAACCATGACGGACTACGAGCGGCACCACGGCAAGGTGAACTTGGCGGGGTCGCGGTCTGCTACACAAGTGCACGACGTGCACGGCCGTCCCTTGCCAACAGACCGCAATGCCCTCGTCGTGGCCCCCCCCGCGTCTTCCGCCCTAACCGGGTCGCTCATCACGATGGGTGTCGTAGCGCCGACCACGTCTCCACTGCGAACTTACGCAGAGTGGTATTTGGCCCATTGCTCCGACGCCTCTCCGATCCGCACCGTACCGACAGTGGAGTGCTTTAAACAGGAGAGCCGCGCTGCTGGCCGCAAGCAGGAGGCGTACCTCTGGTCCCTCCTGCAGGACATCTACACCGATGCGGAGCAAGCCGATCAATACCACCCCGATGCCATCGGTATCGAGTCGATGCAGCCGCATAGGCGTTGGTTTATCTCCCAGTACGCCCATCTGCAGGCTTTCTTGCAGCGCCAGCCGGTGCTGCGCCGGGCGAACATCATTTGCCGCTGGCTCGAGGCCACCTACCGCGACGACACCCGGCAGGAGCCGAGCCTGCATGGAGAGGAGGAGATCGTACTCCGCCAGCTCATCCTGACGCACCTACGCGGTGGCGAACTGCACCGGGCCATTCAGGCCGCCGTCACCTACGAGAGCTGCGTGCACAGCTGTGTGCTGAGCGCGGCCCAGCTGCAGACGGTGCAGGAGCCGTGGTTTGCGCAAACCGCCTTAGTGCCTTTGTTTGGCGAGTACGCGCACGGTGAGTTGGCGCAGGCGTGGTGTGGCAACGAGTACCGCCTCGAGAACCTCTCGCAGCTATACGAGGAGTCGTTGCGGTACCGCAAGACGGCCGCCGCCGCGGTCGGGGCGGGGGGCAGCGCGGAGCGGCAACCACCGAATGCCAGCAACGACTTCGATGCCGTGATTGGCGCCGCGCTGTGCGGCAACCTCAACGTTCTGGAAGCTGCGTTTAAAGTGAACGGGAACTGGAAGGACATGGCGTGGTGCTACCTCCGCTGTGCGCTGGTGGTGGCCTTTACGAAGCAGCTGGTGGTGGCAGCCGGGGCTGGCGGAGACGAGGCGGGCCGCTCTGCGATTGGCGCCGTCGACGGGAGCTACGCCGCGTTCATTGAGGAGATGACGGGCGGCGGCGATGACTGGGCCGCGACCTTTTCTCAGAAGTTGGTGCAGGGCTTAGCCGCTCGTCTGCAGTCTGGCTTCCTGGCCCATGTGCCGCTGGAGGAGCAGCTGCAGATGCGCGTGATCCTGCAGACTCTCACATGCATGGACGGGAAGGGCCCCAGCGGGCTTTTCGTATCCGGGCCGTCAGCCGTCATGATGATGCGACCACCACCACCGCCAGCTGCAGCTGCCGCTGTTGGTGGCGTGCCCGCGGAGTGGTTTGACATTGTACCCGAGGACGGCAACAGCGAGGCAGCTCGGCTCATTACGCATGTCGTGCTGGTGCAGGATGTGGCCTACGGCGAGACGCTCAGCCCGCATTCGGTGCAGGTGCGCGCCGGGGCCGCCCTGGCCACCTCGCTCGCCCGCTACGCCGTCTTTCTCGCCTTGCTCCCTCGTTACCCGTTTAACGAGGGTCTGCGGGCGGTGACGGCGATGACGCTGCGGCTGCGTGACCCACGGCACCGCGCTGGCGTCTACGCCGCGTTCATCAAAGCCGCGCGGGATTACGAGTTGGAGCGGCAGGACCTAACGCGCAGCCAACTCGAGGAGCAGGAGGGCCGACTGGTGCGGCAGTTCGTGACGGCCGACGCGGACTCGCAGGTGCATATCGAGGTGCAGCAGCTTCTGTATCAGCAGGTGGCGCCGGCGGAGATGCTGACGCACAATAAGTTGGCGGAGAAGATCATGTGGGAGGCGATGCACGCTGATTCGATCGCGGACTACGTGCGCGTGTTGCGTGGCGGGTTGACGGCGTGCTGCAGCTTTTGGCTGACGCGGCCCGCGGCAGAGGTGGAGGCGATCGCGGATGTGAGCAACATTCTGACCCGCCGCGTCTTAGTGGAGTTGCAGAAGCTGTCGGAGAAGTACGGCGAGGACGAGGCGGCCGCTGCGGCGGCAACTGCCCCGTCGTGCAGCCCGATGACGGAGCTGGAGCGCAGCGAGTCTACGTTTTGGTACGTGTGGAGCGAGGCCCGCGGCATTGCGAAGCGGCACGCGACGACGGCAGCGGAACTGGCAGGTGCTCGCGCGAACGCGGCCTTTGCCGGTGCCGCGACCGGACACTCAAATCGTACCCTTGTGTACCAACTCACGCAGGACGAGACGACGCTGCTGAACCGACTCGTGGAGCAGACCCAGCGAGCGTTGCGGCACGGCGGAGCCGTCGTGCACCGCGATCGGCAGTGCCTGACGGCCATTATCTGGCTGGTGCAGCAGCTCGCCGAGGAGGTGACGCTCTCGATGCTGTCGAACCGGTCGGTGAACACGGCGGAGGCGGAGGAGGAAAGTCCGGCGCCACATGATGAGCTGCGTCGCATGCAGCAGGTGTACGAGCTTTTAGAAGAGCTGCACCTGGCCGGATACTTCGAGCCCGAATTGCTGTCGCAGAAGTGCGCCAGTGACTTGTACACACAGATACGCGCGATGCGGGTGTCGTACGGGCAGCAGGTGCACCGGCGTCAGGTGATGGCCGCGCTGCGTGCGCGAACTGCGTGTCGGGTTCAAGACGCGAACGCGCAGCTGGAGTCTGAGAACTCCTTTTAGTGGTTCTGTGAAGGCGTTCCGTGCGGTGTTTGTGCGGCGCGAGTGACGAGGTGTTCATGGCTGACAGTCGAAACCAGAGACAAAGCTGGCCTTCGCGTGAGGCCTCTGCATTCATAGACGCGCTTTTTCTTTCCCTATGGTGCGTCCTTGAGGCTCATCAAAGTTTTCGGCTCCATCCAGTTCCGTTGAGTGTATCCTGTTGTCATAGCTCGTTACTCTTCTTTTTCTCTTTTTGGCGCGTGTGTGTACTAGCGGCCTTGTCGCACGCTTAGGTTAATTAAGGCTGTGTCTTCATAAGCGCGTCATAGAGTCTGCAGCAGTGAACGGTAAATCACGCAACAGCAATATACAAAGTGGGCGAAGAAAAGCGGTGGTTGCCTACGCCAGTGCTTTAATGTGGGAAAGCATTATTCTTTGATGTTCACGAGCGTTCCTGAGTTCACCCTAAAAAAAAAATCTGAACGCGGACGGGGTGAATCTTCGACTGAGGAGCAGCGAACCCACACGCATATCGTGTCTGTTGAGGATTGTCGTGCTTGAGGACTATCGTTCTTCCAATCGAAGTTAGCCGTTTCTCTTAGCGGGTGTGCGTGGGGGTAGAGTTAGACACCTTTTTTTTTATATCTTCCGAAATCTTGATTCGGTAGATTTACAAATATCTTCTCTCCTCCTTCAATACACCAAACCACTTCTCTAATATTCCATTCAGTCACATTGCCCCATCATCGAATCACATCTCTTCATTCATCATCATGACTTCTGTGCCGCCGACGTCCACCATGGCTCCCGCCGAGGCTCCTGCTGCTGCCTCCCCTGCCATATCGCTGCCGTCAGCAGAAACCATCCATCACTTCCAGGAAACCTTCTCCTTTGTCCGCCACGAGCGGGAGGATGTGCGTAAGATGGCGATTCACGGCATCGCCGAGCAGAGCAAGGACAGCCGCGATTTGTGGAGCTTCCTGGCCTCGCCGCAGTTCGGACCGAGTTGCATCGACGCGCTGCTACAGTACCTCCACGCGGGCGGCAAGAACGTTCTGGGCGACATTCTGACGATCCTCGTGAACTGCTCTGCGGATGGCAGCTGCGCCGAGATGCTGGTGCAGCGCAAGGTGGTGCGAAAGACGATGCGCCTGCTAGATGGGATGGAGCGCAGTGACCAGCCACAGTCCTACGTGCGCAGCGTGCAAGAGCTTGCGTTGATGCTGCTGAACAACTTAACGGCGAGTCACGTCACCGCCATCGACGATCTTCTGCAAAAGGAAGACGAAGACATGCGTGGGTTTTATTTGGGTAAGCTGCACGTCTACTACGAACGCTTTGACGCTGAAGATGCGGAGACGCGCACAAAGGTGGAGGAGGCGGAGGAGGCGAGGAAGGAAAGGGACGCCGCTGTCAGCATCAACCCAGAGAAACAGAGGGAGAGCGAGGACAAGATCGCCGCGGGCACCGCTGCTGCCGCCGCCGCCGCACACCGCGACCTGAATCGGTGGATTCTGCACATCCTGCTGAATCTCACCCGCACGTTAGACGGCCAGCAGCTGCTTCTAGAAGACGAGGAGTGGCGCGTCGCGTTAAACGACTCCCTCTCCTCTTCCAACCCGCGTCATCGCTACCTGGCGGCGCAGTGTTACCGCAACTGCGCCTGCTCCCCCAACCCCCTCTACGGCCTCATTATGAAGAGTGACGCCCTCGTCACGGCGGTGCATCGGTTGGCGCTGAAGGAGCCAATTGCCGATATTCAGCAGTCCTTAGCGGAGTTTATCGCCAGCATGTTGGAGTCCGAGGAGGGCATGGCGCGGCTGGAGGGCGTGAACGCGAAGAAGGCGCTCGCCTCGGCGGTGGCCGCGTCGACGCCGTCCACAGAGGACGCTGACAATAACACCAGCCGTGTGGAGGTGGTGGAGGAGGACGGTGTGCCGGTGGAGGCGTCCGCCCCATACGTCGTGCTCGGCCCGCAGGTGTGCGAGTTTATCGCGCGGAGCGTGCTGCCGTACCTCGACGACGTCGTGGATGCGTATTTGGCCCCCGGCAGCGATGAACTGGATTGAGAGAGGCAGCGAGAGGGAGAGAGGGAGGGGGCGTCAAACGTCCGCTGTGACTTTCTCCTGTTCTCCTTTAACTTTTGCGGTTGTTTGGCCTCATTCGCTTTGTGTCGTTTTCAGGTCCGCGTAACGTAATGCCGAGGTAGCTGAGTTTTTTTGTTCTTTTCTAAATAAATAAATTTATTCTCGGATTCGAAACGAACTTCATGCAAAAGAATCTTTTTTTCTTTTTCACTCGTGGGGAATGTATATATATATATATTTCGGCGCGTTACCTAGCCGCTGACGAGGCGCTGTTCACGCCGCTAAATCGGCCCCCGCGTCGTCTCACCTCAAACACGAGCGACCAGATTTGGTTAGAAGAGGAAAAAAGAAAGCGATGTATGCGTTGCTGTCAAGCGCTTGCCACAACAGCTGTGCACCGAAAGAAAGTTAAAAAGTGCTCAATTTGTACGGAGGCGGCACCCCCATAGCGTTTCTCTATCTCTTCTTCTTCTTCCCCCCCTTTCTTTCATTAAACCTTCCACTCGTTTCATACCCGCCTTTCTCGTTCTATTCCACGGCGCAAAAACTCAATTGCCGCTCCATCACAACCACACCGATCCCCCGTGCTGATCCCCTTGGGTCGAACCCGTACATACGCTCCCACGCAAAAACCACCACCACAATCGATGTTGACGCGAATAGTGTGTTCACTCACAACAAGTTAGTAGCCTCCGTTCATATTCCTCAAAACGAGAAAGCTGAGTCCCCACTAAAACAAAAACATACGTATTAAAGTGAAAATATCATGTTCCGTCGTCTTGCCTTCCAGAACCCCGCCGTTAGCCGTGCCCTGCGCACGAATGCCCGCTCCTACTTCTACCCGTGCCCAGGCGAGACCGGCATCAGCGGTGCCACGATGCAGAGCACCCTGAAGATTACGCTTTTTCTGATCGTCGCGCAGGTCATCTTTATCCGCCTGTACATCTTCCGCCGCCTGACGACCATGAACCAGTTCGTGGAGGACTCCACCGACCTGTGGGAGAACGACGGCACGGAGATGGAGGGCGAGGAGGCGGTGGCCAACCTGCGCATCCAGCATGAGCGTATTATGCCCTTCATGAACGACATCAAGGACAAGCTGGAGTCGGCGTAGAGGGGGATATACCCACAGAAAAGAGAAAGCAAGTGGAATGATCAGAGCCGTGATCTGGGGAAAAAAATGCAGCGAAATACGCCTCCTCTTGTTTCGCGTGCAACACACACGCGTTCTTTTCAATTCTACTTCTCTTCTCTATAATTCAGGATATTAGCATATTTTTTTTCCCCGTTTGTGGTCTGTGTTCTTCTTTTTTTATTTCGTTGTAGATGTGAGGTGGTCAAGCGTTGTTTCACCTCAAAGCAGCTTCCATATCGCGCAACTCTGCCTGCAAAAAGAAAAGAAATAAAAAGAGGAAGCTAGTTAGTTAGTATTTGTAGGTATCTTCTTTCCTTTTCTAAAAAGAGAAGAGAGAATCCCCTCAGCAGCCATATTACGAACCCTTCTCTTTTGTTTCACTGATCATTTCGCTCTTTTTTTTTAGTTTTCTGGTTTTCTGCCTTCTGCGTACTGCATGGTTCGCTTTGAAATGGAGTGCAGTACTTTTGTTGTGCGTCCTGCGTAGTATTACTCAACCTTTAAAAGAAAAGAGAACGAAAAGAAGGACCTATAAGAAAAAATATTTCTCGCTCTTGACCAGCCGAACGTGATGGCTTATTTGGCACAGGGAATACGGGGAAGCTCTCTCACACACTCTCTCGCATGGTCACGAGAAACAAAGGAAAAGGACCTTTTCTTTGGAGGCTTTCCAGAGGTCTTACAAAGACTTGCTGGTGATTTCCTCTTTGCCGATCGTTTTCTGTTTTTTTTTTGTTTCTTCTCGTTTCTTGAAGAAAAAAGAGACGCGGTGAAGAGGGCTCAGAGTGAAGAGAGCGCTTGCCGGACTGCGCAACAACGAGTCTACTCTCCTCACAGCTACTCTTTTGCATTCATCGGGAAGACGGCTCTTGCGGCGGACTGATGCAAAAAGTTTTGACGCCTGTCGCACTTATTCTCATCTCTCCCTCTCTCTCCCTCTCTCTCCCTCTCTCTCCCTCTCTCTCTTTCAACTTCATTACATTACCACTGCAACGTGCGCATGCATACGTATCACTCCTTCACTTGTCACTCCCTGCTGGCTGCCGGGTCGTCAATGCGACCTGGTTTTGACGTGCGTATTTAACGCGTAGGATCTCTTTGCTGAGAGAAACGCTCACCAAATAGTCTCTCTCTCTCTCCGTGTTGGATGGTTCCGTCGCCCTCTTCATTGCAGCGTTTCCAGCTACGTCGCATTCGAACTCTTTTCTCTCCCCTTTTCCGGTTCTTGCGGTAAAAGCTGCAAGGAGCAACTCATATTAGGCTCTTTATTTTGTGAGCCTGCGAGGGGAATGGAAGGGACGGAAAAAATGAGTTGAATGTGATTGGCAGCGGAGAGATTGGCGGATCTCGGTCATTTAGGGTAATGCTCTAAACTATCTTCTCCTTATCTATTACCTCCTGAATCCTGGTTCTTCCGTATTCTGGTTTGCCTGGCACAGTTGTTTTCAGCATCGAGAGAAACTCCGGTTTTTCGCTGAAATCCACCCGCCCACCCCCGGTCCCTCCCACGACAGGGACCCATGGGATCCTTAAAAAGATCCATGAGTTTTGTTTTCCTTGCACTTCGTAATGCGATACTCTCTGAGAAAAAGTCCGACGACAAACACGACAGATAAAGAAGAACGGAATTGGGGCAGATACTAGATAGTGAAGAAACAATGAGTAGCCTTGATGGGGACATTGATGTCAGGTACTCGCTAGTTATGTATTTCTCTAAATGCCGTGCAATCACTTCGACTCTTGACTTCCTATCCTTCTTATTCGATAATAATAAACACACACACACACCTCTAAAGGAGTCTCAGCGACGAAGTATTTGTCGTAGAGTCTGTTTTGCAGCTACTACTACTACTATTATTATTGTTGTTGTTAACAGTATTTTGTTTTTGTTTTTCCCTTTCCCGCGTGTACTCCGCAAACCGGTAAAGCCAAGTGTACCGGCAGCGAGTACCCTCAGCTATTCTGTTCCCTTCAATCTAACAAATATACGCTGTAACTTATTGAGTTTGCTCAACGTCACGAAAAGGAGAGGATCAAGCAGCGTACACGGGAAAGGAAGGTACGCAGCGCAGACAATTCCCTCTCCACACAGACGCTCACCAGTAGTAGATGCACAGAGAAGAGAAATCCAACTGAGCAAATTGCATCGTCGCATTGGGGCGATTCTTGTTATTGGTATTGTTATTATTGCCTTGGTGCTTTCACACTTTTTCGCTGTTGTAGTGGCGTCCGCTTTGCGGAAAGAACACACACACACACAGACAGAAAGCATTCCGTGCCTTTCTTTCTTGTGGTGGTGGTGGTAGTGGCGTCGCAATCCACTCGTGCCACCTTCACGGATACGGTTGACAATCCGCAATTCAAGCACAAAGCAGCAAACCCGACACACACCAGCGAGGAGCTGCGACTCCGGCCCAGCTACATTTATACCTATGCTTGTTTCCTGATTGCTCATTCGCGAGGCTTTCAGAGAAGCGCAGAAGTACAAGTCAAGCAAACTCTCCGCATCGTTATCTTATCATTTTTAGCCGCCTGCCGTTATACATATATATTTCACTCTTCTCCTCTGCTTGTTTTTTCTTTCTTTCTGGGCGTTGAATTAATAAAACGAAGAGGAGGAAAAACAAGAGAGATCCCAAGTCTTTTGTTTGATGTTTCTTGACCTCGGAAAACGTACGTAGATACCAACTAGTTGCGTGCCCACGGTGGTCACGACGGTGCCTCCCCGCACATTCTAAAAAAGTTTTTTTCATATCGATTCTTTTTGTTTTTGTTTCTTTGTAGGCTGTTGCTGTTTCCATCTTCTCTTCCTGCGCCGGGCTCGTCCGTTTCACTACGCTTTTACCTAGTGTTCCTTATCTGCTAGTTCAAAAAAAAAGTTTGTTTCTTTTCTCGCTTCCCTTCTCTCTTATTTAAGCGATAGTGTTACTTTTTTCTTCGTTCGTGGTTTCTTGTTTCGTTGTCGGTTTTATTTTTCTACTGATATATCTTGACGCCGGAAGAGGCTTGAGGTTCTTTTTTCTCCTTCCTTTTTTTTTTTCGGACTTGCTGGGGCTACGGTTTGCTACGGTACGCACTCTCTCCTCCCTTCTCGTTTGTACACATTAAGAAGGAAAAAGGCCTCTTTCCCGTGTCGCTCTACGTCCCTCGTCCCACCTTTCTTTTTGTTTTCTCGTTGACTTTAACGAGATACGCTGTCCTGTTTTGTTTAACTCCGGTGTGCCTTCTGCGAACCTCTTCGGTCTTTCTCACTTATTATTATTATTATTTTGTTTTCTTTCCCTTTCCCTTCTTCCTTTTGTATTGTTGTGGAACACCCCTAAATACAGCTGACGCCCCTTAGCGGACCCACTCAAAGATGCGTCTTCTCGTCGGTCGCTACATTCTTGTCAAGCAAATCGGCAAGGGCGGCTTTGGCGCCGTGGAGGAGTACAAGGATTGCATCACAAACGAGAATGTCGCGGTCAAAACCATCCCGGCGCGCTACGTGAATCAAGAGAGCCGCCGCCTGGTGCGCGAGATCGATATTATGTGCTTCCTGCACGACGCCCACCCCCACGTCATTGGGTACTTCAACATCTTCGCCACCAAAGCCACGGCGATCCCGAACCACAACTCGAACGGCAACGAGGACCCTTTGGCGAGCGTGGCGCAAGACGAAGCCAATACGCCGGCGCGACTCAACTTAATGGGGAAGTACTACGCTGGTCTCAGCAGCAGAGAGCAGCTGCACCTGCATCAGGAGGAGTTGATGAAGTCGGTGGCTGAAATCGTTAAAAGCGACGAGTTCAACGTGCACATCGTCATGCCCCTCATGAAGGGCGACCTCTTCTACTTTATCCGTCTCTTGGGCTCGCAGTCAAGTGTGCAGCGACTCGGCGTCACACACCAGTACCTGGCCCAGGTGGCCGTCGTCTTTGCCTTTCAGATCTGCTTCGGCTTGGACTACCTGCACCAGTGCGCCATCATTCACCGCGACATGAAGCCCGACAACGTCCTGGTGCGGCTCGACATCAACAACCCCTACATGTCCACCGCCCTCATCGCTGACATGGGCCTTGCGCGGGATGCGCAGCACAGTGACACGATCTACATCTGCACCCGCTACTACCGCCCCCCGGAGGTGATCACAAGCGTCTCGAGCGGCTCCTCCAAGATCGACATTTGGTCTCTGGGGTGCGTGTTTTACGAGATGTGCACCGGGCAGACGCTCTTCACCATGCGCAGCGCCCTCAATGACCGTGGGGAGTGGGACGGCGCGAAGGCGAGTCTCCAGCTGGAGGTGATCCTGAACACGATCGGCACGCCGGCTGCAGAGGATATTGAGCGCTACATGCCGAAAGGCAACGCAAAGCTGTACCTGCAGCGCAGCGCCCCGCGGCCGTCGCAGCTGCGGCAGCTGATTGAGCGGAATTGGATACTGCACTACAACGGCGACGAGAAGGAGAAGTGGATCGACCTCATCACGCGCTGCGTCGTCTTCTTCCCCGAGCAGCGGCCCACCGCCCAGCAGCTGTGCCAACACCAACTCTTTCGCGACTACAACGTGTTCTACGGCACAAACGTGCAGCAGTACGCACCAACCCCCTACACCCCGTCGTTCCGCCACTTCGCCGACACATCGAGGGCGGAGAACAAGCAGGCGATGCTGTCCTTGGTGCGGCGGGCACTGCAGGAGACGATGCTGCCAGAGAATGAGGAGGATGACACGAGCAGTGAGGAGGAAGAAGAGGACGAGTCGGCGTCAGGCAGCGACGACAGCGATGGCAGCGACAGCAGCGAGAGCGTCGACGAGGGCGAGGACGAGGGCGAGGAGGACGAAACGCCGCCGCAGCCCCTCGTGGACGCCGTTGAGATCAGCTTACGTACGCAGCAGCAAGAGCAGAGCAATTCCGCCTTTAACCCGGCTCGTGGCGATCCCCTCAAGCCCAATAATGCCAACAACAACGAAAACGGAAGTGAGGAGAGCGAGTTGCGCGTGACGTCGTCCCTCTTTGGCTTGTCGAACAGCGGCTCGAAATCGGCGTCCGCACGCGGCGCAGACAGTCACGGTGGTAATAGGCACATCAACAGCAACAATAATAATAGTAATGCGGCGGCGGCAAAGCAGTGGTCTGCCCCTTCCAAAGAGCAGGCGATGTTGCCGAATCCGGTCTCTCTGGGTGGGCACTACTACGGCGGACAGGCCTTCCTGGACGACGAAGATGACGCGGATGTAGGCTTGAACATCGCGGCAGAGGAAGAGGCGAAGTCACGCTACCTACGCGCACAACGATCACCCGTTGCGCCGCGCCCCCATCGCAACGCGCCAGGCGGAGAGGCGACGGCACGTCTGAGTCCTGGCAGCTCCTCCCACCACACCCCGATGGCGATGGCCGGCGTCAGCAGCAGCAGCAACAACATCAGCAAACAACCGGCGAGACACGCCGTTCACTCCGCCAGCTCGGAGGACAGCGGTCCGGTGATCGAGGACACACCACCGCTGGCACCGGCAACCGCCTTCAGAGATCGTATCATCCGTCGGAGACAGAACGGCGTGGTCGATGAGGAGGAACTGAGCATGAGCAGCGCGAAGCCGAGCGCGTTCAACCTGGGAGGCCTCCGCAACCTCCACAAAGAGCGCAATCCGTTCGACAACGAGGAGGCGACGCTGCCGCCGAGCGCGGCGTCACACCTGCCACCCGCCGCGAAGGGCCTGCGCGCGGTCCCGGGGGACTCGCCGATGCAGGGGCCGTTCAGCGTCGCGCTGGATCGCACGGAGACGTCGCCCGTGACGCTGTCCAAAGGTGGGAGCTACAATTACTTGTCGCAGTACCCAATTCGTCACCCAGAGACACGTGTACAGCAGCAACAGCCCGCCGCATTGCATTTTGGTGGATTAGAGGGAAGTACGAGTCTGCCTCGCCCAGGTGGGATTGGCGTGAAGCGGCGCTTCGGCGATTCAGACGCCCAGCCCGTCTGCGCCAGCGCCAATTCAAGCTCCCTCACGCACGCAGGCATCCAAGGCAGCACCGGACCGGCTGCCCCTGCGAAGAAGGTGGAGGAGGGGCAGTACGACTACTTTGGCGACGCGGATTACTTCATCAGCCCCAACGCGAGCAATACCGGGAAGCTTTCCCCGTTGTCATCAGGAAAGGAGCAGGCCTCCGCGACCTATCTGTTCAGCATGTCCGACAGCGGGCGGGCAGATCCATTGCAGCCACTCGCACACCAGGCAAAGCCCGCCGTACCACCACCACCACCACCGGTGCATCCTTCCGCCGCCGCTTCGTTGCCGCGTGTGGACTCCGACTCGTTTCCTTCCATCTCCAATTCAGACCTGCGCCACCGGTACATGTCCTATCGACATTCTCCACACAGCATTCAAGCAGCCACCTCTGCGGTGCTGGAGGAGCTGGGGAGCTGTACGCACGACGCCGCCCGCTCAAGCGAATTGCGTGATTTGCTCAACTACTTCACCTCTCTCAAGGTGGATCCATCGTACTACGTGTGAGTAAAAATAATCTTCTACCACGTTGGCGTTGGCGTTTCTCCAGCTGTCGTCATTCCGGTGATACAACCAAGCAAACAGACATACATACAGCAGCAACAGTTATAGAATGGAATCATTGACACTTGTACGAAGAAGCGTACGTTTTGATTGGATATGCTGCCCCGCGATCAGGGACGTCGAACGCAGCAGCTCGTATACCTTCTGGAAGAGGAAGTAGCGGAGGAAATGACAGAGCCGTTCGTGCTTTTGTTGATTGTACTCTCCGCTGTCCTGAGGTCTGTATCCCAGTTATTGGGGACTCGCCGTAGACCCATGTAAGCACACTTGTATGATTCTTATGCGTGTTACCCGATTTCGTAGTGTAGCAATAACACTATCATGTGCACATATTACCCCCCTTGCCCTCCCTTCCTGACAGCGAAGGAGCTCTTTAATCCAATTCGCACTGTTCTCAATTCTTCTAAAAGAGATGTTTCGTTCGGCTTCTTCGTTTTTCAAATATTTTTTTGTTTGTTTCCAGGTCGCATTTCTTGGTGCTATTGAACCTGTTTTCTTTTGTTCTTCCCCTGCTACCGTGTAGCTGCTTGGAACAGTGGCTCTGTGCGTGTGTGCGAGATTTTCATTTAGTATCTGTTTCCTATTCATCATTTGCCTAATTTGACTGTTGCACGCAAAGAAGGAAATAACAAAAAAAAGCCATTACAAAAGCAAAAGAGAGGAAGCGCACGCCCACGCAGCTGCGCAGCGACGGGTGTTATTATTTTCATTGATTCTGGCAGTCACGGCGACGTGGGTAACTGTTGGCCCTCACGTGAGTTTCTGCAAAGTCTCAGTGGCACTTATTCTCTTATTTTCTGTGTACCTCCTCCCCCGGAAAGCCCTGAGGTGTATTACCACAATACACGTATCCTTTTTCTTTCGTTGTGCTTCTTCTATTGTTGACGTTCCGTCTTGGCTTACCTTCTGGCCTGTTTTTTTTTTCGTGAGGAAGGCCGGAGTGGGGAAAGACCGAAGCTTCCGTATATGAAACTGAAAACGACGAAAGCCAACGTTTTTTTCCTTTCTTTTCTGGAGAGAAGGACGGGTCCGGGTCTAGCTCGGTATGAGAGATCGATGCAGCGTTCACCGCGTCATTTTCTACGCTGCTTAATGGGAGACGGAAAAGACTCTTCTAGCTGCGGATGAGACGAGCTCCATTATTTCGAAAAAAAGAAAAACACGTCTCTCTCTTGTGTAAAGTCATGTCTTTCTTTCTTTATTTCCTCCTCCTTATGCTCGCTTCTCCTCACGCTCCGCGTACCGCTATCCGCATGAATGCCTTTCACTCCGCGCATTCAAGTGCTTTCGACTGAGCCATGCTTCCGTAAAGCGCTGCGGTTTTGGCGGATCAGCTCTCGTTCTGTTTGCTACTCCTATTGACCCCCCAAAACAAACAAACAAACCAGCAAACCTTAGCATAATAATTATCATAGATCTGCAAGGGCGAAATACGATGAGTTTTGGGTATCGCGGATTGCAGCGCAGCGACCGTCTTCTCCCGCTGGAGTCGTCGGAGGTTCTCGCGGCGACCGATTGCTTTCGCCTGCACGTACTGGACGATGAATGCGATGTTAGGTTGCACGAGCACGTGTCGTTCTATTGGGATCAGCAGCGGGATTATCAGGCCTACCAGCGGCGACTGTTGCGGCAGGTGCGCTCCACGAAAGGCCCCGTACGCTTCGTGGGGTTTCCGCAGGTTCGAACGCCACAGACGGCAGGCGAGCACGACAGGTCGTCCGCTTCCGCAGCTGCGCCCAACGTCCATGCTCATGGTCACGACGCCGGCACTACATCAGCCACACAAGGCAGAGACACCGTTCTCGTTGCTTCTGCACCGCAGAGTGCACCACCCTCCCACGCCAGCGACAGCGCCGACGACGCAGTGGCGGAATCCATGTGGACACCGCCCCGCTCGCTGGCTGCATGGAACTGGGTGCGCCTGGTTGCACCCTACGAACGCCTGCTGTGTCCCTCGTTGCTCTTCAGTGCGCTGCTGTCCCCCGCTGTTGGGGGTAGCAACACGTCGCTACTGTACGGCACACAGCCTCCTTCTTCCTCTTCTTCGTCATCCCCGGTAAGCTCCTTGCGTTCTCAACCGTGCGTTACGGCAAAGTGGAGCACACAAACGTGTCGCACGCTGTGGGCGCTGCACGACACCGCTGCCGCTGCATCGCTCCCCGCGCAAGAGGTGTACGTGCTGTGTGCAGGGACGCTGCTGTACCTGGACGTGGTGATCACCTCCGGCAAAGTGTGGGATGAACTGGAGGGGCTGTGGGGGAAAGATTGGATGGCTCTACAAGACGACAGCTCCCCAGCAACTGCAGACAAGAGCAGTACATCGCACAGCACCAAGGATGAGGATAGCGCATTTGACTCACAGGTCAACTCGCTCACTGCGTTCAAGGCCAACCTCTCCCAGCCACCACAGACCTACGCTTCGCTTGTGCAACACGTCCGCATCCTCTTGGAGGCCCTCCTGTTTGTTGCCCCAGCTATCGAGGGAGGCGCCCACGCAACCTCCGCTACGTTGTCCGCTATCCAAAAAGCTTCCCTTTCATCTCCCCAGCCGCTCCTCCCGTGGCTGCTGGCAGCCGCCGAGGCGGAGGAGTGGACTGCGTTCACCAACCCTAACACAGCCACCAACCCATCGTCCCCGTCTGTCTCCTCTTACACCGACCACAACGCACGACACACGTCTGCGGTGGCCCAGGTATTGAAACTGGCGGTGCGGGAATGGCTGTCGCGCAGAGGCACCACCGTCAGCGCCGCCGCCCCGACAGGCAGCCGCGCCGTATCGTTGCCCATGCGGGACCTGTGTGTTTCTCGCGGGTCGCCGCAGCTGAGCCGCTACCCGACTACGAACGCGCCGGCTGCGACACGGCCGCGGCAAGCGAATTCGAAATCCGCTGACACGACAGGAAGCACAGGCGAACTGGAGAACAATGAGAACAGCGGCATCAGAAGCAGTGGCGGTGATAGCGGCGGCGCTGGGCGTGAGTTGAGTTTATCGAGTCCGACTGCCGATGTGGGTAGCGGTGTGGGAGCAGCGGCCTCGTCACCGTCTTCAACCTCGGTGCAGCCCTTCGCTTTCGAAGCCTTTGAGCCGCATGACACGCCACGTGCGCAGCATCCATTTTCGCTGCCGCCTTTACCGCAAGATCCGGCCTTTCTCGTGTTCCTCGTCGTGTGGCGACGAACGCTGCGGCGGTGCGTGCTAGAGAGGAACGTGGCGCGGCAGCAGCTGCGACAGGTCATCCTTGGCCAGGCCGGTCAGCGCTGCGAGGAGCTCTTAAAAATGGCACGCCAGAAGCACCGCACGACACCGCTGACACCATTGTCCACGCAAGGCGAAGCCGCCGTTGTGCGCTCGAACGCGGGCATCCAAGGCGTCAAGGGAAAAGACGGAAAGCCGTCTAGTGATACATCTATCAAAGCAGCGCCTCTTCACACCTCATCAGACTCATCCATATCGCCCTCTCCTCCTTCGCTGCTGGCGGCCGCAGCAACGAAGCCACCTTCTTCGCCTTCTGCCCCAACCGTTGTACAACCAACGCCTCTGGCACCACCAGCGCAGCCGCTGCGGCTTCTCACGAACAATCCAGCTGCGACGTCGTTTCGCGTACGCGGCCCCCGCTCAGGGGAGTGGCTGACAAGCCGCACCCGGGCATGGAGTGGCTTTCGCGGGGAGCTCTTTCGGTGTGTGGGCAGCCCGCCTCCTCCCCCGACGCCGTCCCCTGCGTTGACGACTCCACTCGGCGAGCCGCACGGTTCGCCCTCTACTCGCCCGCGACTCCGATCCTCGCGTGTCGCCCAACCCCGAGCGGAGATCTACTCCACTTCGTCCGAGTTGCTCTTGGAACCGTTTGTGGACGGAGCGCTGGAGCTAGACAGCAGCACGCGCTCTTCGCCCTCCGCGTCAGCGACGAATGCCGCCACCGCTGACCCGCTCACGACGGAGGAGCTGGCGGACCGGTTGTGTCGACTCGGTGCCGCGCTGCCCTGCTACGCCACCGAAATCTCCGGCGATCGCCTGCGCCCCGCCGACGCGGACTTTGCGCGCGACGTACTCCAGCAGCAATGTCTGCCGCTCTTCTTGGCCTGCAAGCGCCGCGGCATCCAGCAGTGGTGCCTGCGTGGGTGGCTGAGAGGGTTGGTCCTCACCTTGTTGGACAACAGCGGCACGGAGTCGCGTGTTGCGACGCCGGCGAAGCTGCTGCAGATGAGCAAGCAGCAGCTCGCTGCGGCGATGGGTGGCGCAGACACCACCGACACCACCGCGGCGCTGCGGATGCTGCTGGAGGGCGGCCTGAGTGAGGTGGTGGCCTTCCTCGAGTACGTGCAGAAACGGAAGGAGCGAACGCTGCGGTGGCTGTCGGTGCGGCGGGAGTCCGCTGGTGGGACGGCGACCGCCTTTTCTTCGAGTTTCCCAACGTCGCTGTCGACGTGCTCGGCCGTGGAGGCGTTGCTGCTGCGTCGGGCGGAAGAGAGCGCCATCTTCAGCATTTTCCAGTGTCACCCAGAGGCGGTGGCGTTGAGTGGGTGCGGGGTGCAGCGCCTTGCCTTGTACGCCAATGCACACAAGGGCCGGTCGTTGGCGCTGCTCGTGCGCACCTGCGGGGTGGTGGTGGAGTGGGATATGCAGGACTGCTACGCGCCGCCGCGGCACCGACGTCTCCGTGTGCCAAAGCGAATGACGACACAGGAAAGGCGGAAGTCGGCATCAGGCGTCGTGAACGGCGACGAGGCACCGCCGGCCGAGATCGGCACCGCTGTCGAGCGACTGACACTGCGGCACGTGCGTGGGATGCTGCAGTACTACTGTCGTGCGTTGGTGTCGTCGTCGCCGTCTGCGGCGCAGAAAGGAGTGGGTGCGACGACATCGAATACGACAACACGCTCTCCTGGGAGGGCGGCACCCGCGTCTTCACCTACGCCAGCGCCGGCAGCATCGATGCCCGACACGTCTTCTTCCTCTCCGACGCCGTCCACAGGAACCAAACGCCCGCGCGATGACAACGAGGGGAGCGAAGACCCCTTACCGAAAACGACGGCTGATGCTACTGCTGCAGCGCGCAGTAACGCCCTTCCGACAGCCAAGGAAGAGGACTCTCCTCACACCAAACCGGAAGAAGAGAGGGACACGACCAAGACGGATGACAGTGGGGGCGGAGCGGCGCCGGATCAGTCCCCTTCGCAGCCCTCGACAGTCGCAGAGATGGCCCTTGAGCGAACGACTTTGTTCCCCGTCGATCGAGCAGTCGTTCTCTTTGTTCTGCGCCACCATCCGCAGTACTACACGCACGTCGTGGGGTGTGGGGTGAAGGAAGTGTACGTCGCCCTCGGCTCCACCTCCGCCGATGCTGCCGTTGCGGCTACGACGGAGACGGAGGCGAATTCGACTGGTGCAGCTCCCGCTGAAGATAATGAAGCTGCATCGAAAGCCTTTTCTCCTCAAGCGGACCCTGACGATCGCGCGTCTATGCTCGCCACAGCGGCGCATCCAAGCACCGCTTCAACATCGCCACCAAGACCCACCTCTGGCGCTGTTTCGAAGCCGGTCCTGGTGGTGGAGCGTGTTTGCGGACAGCACGTAGGGGTGGACATCGAGGCGTGCTACATTCAACGTGATGGCGGATGTACCCTGCGTCCTCGCGTCATGCTCGTGTAGCACAACGAAGCCACTTCTGGGAAAGAAAGAGACGAATTGAAAGCCAAAGCAAGTTGCCGAAGGTGTGCTTTACTGATGTCTCTTTCGCACATCTCGCACATGCGCAAGCAAGATAAACATACAAGCAACATCAGCACAAACAAACGATAAGTGCCTAAATAAAGGAAAGAAATCGCTGATGTGTCGGTGCAATGCTCAGCAGAAAAGCTATTGGTGCGTAGAGGTTGGCGATCAGAAAGGAGTGGGACAGGCCGCGCTGATATTCTGGCACAGGCGAGTCTCAGGCGACATCAATTCATACGCGTGTGTTCACGGCCTTCCATTCGGGTTCCGTGACAAAACGAATCGAAACAAGAATCCATTTTGTAGTTCTGCGTTAACTCTTTTCTCCCTCTATTCTCCTCTGTGCTGACCTACCATCTCTCCCAGGTGCTACAACACAGCGAATACCTTACGCACGCTCAAACCTTCGCTCTTCACGACCACTATCAATTCTATATATATATTTTTTATTTTGAAAAGCTGTTCGTTTCGTTCTCTCTCGCCTACCCACTTGATTGTGGTCAGCCGACCTACAACTATTATTACTATTACTATTACTATTACTGTTATTATAAACGGTTTTTGCTCTCTTTTTTTTTCTCTGGATTGTTTCGCTCTCACTTCTGCGAACATCTTTGTTTTTGCCTGACTTTCAGACGAGCAGTCTTTTTGTGTTTCTCTTTCATCTGTTTAGACTCTCGCGAGGCAAAACAGAAGCGCCACGGAAATAATCGTGTTTATTCCGAGGTGCTGGCTACAGAAAAGAGTTTAAAGAAATATCTATTCACTGCAAATTGCGCTTGTTTTTCCTGTTTTTTATTTATTTGCGGCTGCCATTCAATCCGTCGCAACGTCGTCGACGTCTTCCTACGGCACCTTCGCCCATTACCCTCTTCCTCGGTCCATCGCTGCGTACTCTACGTGTACTTGCACCCACGACTGTGCGTGTCGGCTCAACACCGAAAGCTCTCATTCCAGCTCGATCGGCACGATCTCTGCTGCAGCTCGTACCTGCGAAGCCTCCGTCGACGGCGTGTCACCCGTCATGAGCGCCGAATCACTTTTCGACTCCGGTGCGGCCACCCCGCCAAAGGAGCTGCACACGGGCAAGGCCGCCGTCCAGCCCCGTCATTGCTTCTCCCTCATCGTGGCAGGGATGACGTGCGATGGGTGCGCCCGGCGTCTGCAGGAGCGTCTTGCGGAGATCAGTGGTGTGGCGATGGCGCAGGTGGACTTCCCCTCGAGACGTGCTGACATTTACGTGGCGGACGTGCACGCGGGGCGAGAGGGGGAGGGAGGGGTGGAGGGGGATGCGGCACTACGGCGGCGCGTGGAGGCCTGTGTGCGAGCGATGGAGTACGAGGTGCTGCCGCAGTCGCCGACCGCGCCGGCGGAAGCGAAGGAAGAGAACGCGCCGCAGCCCCTGCCATCGCTGCGCCGCGTGCGGTGCCGCTGCAACGGTCGTGGGTGCCGCTGCACCGAAGCGCCGGAGTTGGCGATGACGACGGAGGAGACACGGCTTCTCGGCAGCGACAGTGAGGAGGCGGCTGCATCAAGGGAGTGGCGGTGTGCGTCTCGCCGCCCAGCGGCGAGGCGACACACCGCCGCTGTTCCGCCTCTTCTGCACACACCGAGTGCTGCGAATGCGACGGCGAAAACACGTCTGTTGATTGAGGGGATGTCGTGTTCCTCCTGCGCTGCCCGCATCGAAGCTGCACTGCAAGCCATGGACGGCGTTGTCAGCGCCTCCGTCAACTTCTCCACCTTAAGCGGTCAGGTGGTCCACAACACGTCCGTTGCCTCATTGGAGAAGGTCGTGAAGTGCGTCGCGGACATGGGCTTCACCGTCACCACGCAGAGCACGACGGCGAAGTTTGCGACAGAGGCGGAGGAGGGCCGCGGCGAGTGCACCTGCAGCACAAACCTGCGCGCCGTCCCGGTCCGCGTCGGCGACGTGGCCTCGTGCTACGAACACAAAGTGCTGATCAAGGGCATGTCGTGTGCGTCCTGCGCCGCTCGAATTGAGGCCACCGTGCGCCATCTGCCGTCGGTGCTGAGCTGCGTCGTTTCCTTCACAAACGGCACGGCGGTGGTTACGACGCGCACCGCGGACGGCTACCTGGAAGTGTGTAACGTGATCCACTCACTCGGGTATGAGGCAACGGAGACGTCGCACCTCGAGCCCGATGCGTCGCTGAAGCGCACCCGCGAAGCCCTCGAGCGTACCCGCGAGATCACCGAGCACAAGCGTAATCTGATCGGCAGCGCCGTGCTGAGCGTGCCGCTGCTGGCGGTCATGATCATGATGATGGTGTCGGGCGTGATGGAGGACTACCCGCGCGCGGCGAAGATTATCAACGGAGTGCAGCTCTGTGCTGCGACGCCCATCGTCTTCTATTTTGGCCGTGCCTTCTTCGTCAACGCCTGGCGCAGCTTTGAGCACGGCGCCTATACGATGGACACTCTGGTCGCCCTCGGCACCGGCTGCACCTACGTTTACTCCGCGGTGGTGTACGGCTTCAACCTGGTCGTGTGCCCAGACGGCCATATGATGACCTGCTTCGACACGGCGGGGATGCTGACCACCTTCATGCTGCTGGGGCGCTTCCTGGAAGCTCGCGCGAAGCGCAGCACAAGCGGTGCGCTAATTGAGTTGATGAGCCTCGTGCCGACGACGGCGCTGTGCGTGCTACCGGACGGCAGCGAGGTGCGCGTCAGTTCCGCGGAGCTGCAGAAGGGTGCCATGGTGCGCGTCCTCGCCGGTGATCGCGTTCCGGTGGACGGTGTCATTGTGGAGGGCAGCTCCGAGGTGGATGAGCAGATGGTAACGGGGGAGTCGCTGCCGAAGCACAAGAAGCCGGGCGAGCCCGTCGTGGGCGGCACCCTCAACATCACCGCCACGCTGCTGATTCAGGCGGACAAGGTGGGCGAGGAGACGATGATTGCACAGGTGCTGCGCATTGTCCAGGAGGCCCAAAACACGAAGCCGGCGGTGCAGCGCGTTGCCGATCGCATTGCGATGTACTTTGTGCCGTTTGTGCTTGTCCTTTCCATTGTGACGCTCCTCGTCTGGCTGGTGCTCGGCGCAGCCCACACCTACCCCGACAGCTGGCGTGAGCACGGCACCAGCTGGTACGGCTTTGCCTTCAACTTTTTCATTTCCACCGTCGTCGCCGCCTGCCCGTGTGCGCTGGGTCTGGCTACGCCCACCGCCATCATGGTCGGCACCGGCGTCGGCGCGAAGAACGGCGTCCTGGTGAAGAGCGGCGCGACGCTGGAGGTGGTGCGTAAGGTAAACTGCGTGGTGCTCGACAAGACGGGCACCATCACAAAAGGCCACCTCGAGGTGGTGCGCACGGAGACGATACTGATGGACGCGTTGCCGGGGCTGGACGAGGCTCTGGCCTGCCGCCTTGTCGGTCTGGCGGAGGCGCAGTCGAACCACCCCATCGCGAAGGCGGTGAGCGAGAAGCTGTTGGCGGAGACGGACCTGTCCTCCCCGGCCCAGCGTGAGACGCGCTACGCGGTCGGGGCGGTGGTCACCCACGGCGGCAAAGGCCTGGAGGCGTCCATCAAGGTGTCCACGTCTGCCGCCGCTGTCGCCGAGCACGGCGCTGCACAAGAGCGCGTGTACCGTCTCCTCGTGGGCAACCTCTCGCTGCTGCGCGACAACGGCGTACCTCCGAACGTGGAGTTGGTGCGGCGCATGGAGGAGGCGAACGGTCAGGGCCTGACGACGGTGCTGGCTGCGATCGACGGCGTCGCGTGCGTCTTGGTCCGTCTCGCTGATGAGCCGAAGCGGGAGGCCTTTGGTGTCATCCAGCAGCTGCAGAAGGCGAAGATTCGTGTGCTGATGGTGACGGGCGACAACGTCGGTGTGGCGGGCCGGATCGCTTGTGAGGTGGGTATCGCGCCCGGTGACGTGCGTGCGGAGGCTCTGCCAACCACAAAGGCCGAAATTGTCCAGGAACTGCAGGAGCGCGGACTGCGGGTGATGTTCGTGGGCGACGGCATCAACGACAGCCCGGCACTGGCGCAGGCGAACGTCGGGGTGGCGCTCGGTGCTGGCACAGAAGTGGCCATCGAAGCCGCAGACGCGGTGCTGGTGCGCAACAGCTTGGTGGACTTGCTCAACCTCCACTCTCTGTCTGTCGTGACGGTGCGCCGCATCTACGGTAACTTTCTCTGGGCCTTCGGCTACAACATGTTGATGCTGCCCGTCGCGTGCGGCCTCGTGTTTCCCTTTCTGCACCGTCAGCTTCCACCCGTGTTTGCGGGGGCGGCCATGGTGTTGTCGAGCCTCTGCGTACTGAGCTCCAGTCTGTCCATTCGCTGCTTCCGGCCGCACCGCGAGCGTGACTTCTACTACGACTAGTGGGGATAGGAAGCTCTTCTTTCACAGTCTATTTTTTTCCGCGAAGTCACATCAGTCTGCCCTCCTCCATGCGCTCGTGCGATGTGCCGTTCGTGTACTTTTGCAGTTTTCTTTTTTTCTTCTCCTTTTGTTGTGTAGAGACGACGAGCGATGCGGCGTCGATCATCGCTCGTAGTTGCCTCTACTTTTTCTCTGCCATCGCAACGAAGAAAACATACATCGGTAGGAGAGGAGCGTGCGTTGAAAACACTTTGTTTTATCCCTTTTTTTCCTGTCTCGTTAACGTCAGAGATTTCCCACTTCAACGTATACGACATACATTTCCTACATGCATTACGAAACACGCACACACACGCACACGAGAAAAAAAACATACAAACTAAGTAAAAAACCCCGATGAGATCGTATTCGCACGGGAGAGTTCGCGACTCCGTCGCCTCTGTGTCCTTTTCGCCGTATTATCAGAGATGCTCAAAAACAATAAAACAATAAAGGTAGCTCACACACTCACAGCAGCGTTGAAGTTAGGAAATGAAAATTTGAGGCAGCGCAACAGCACCCAAGTGCAGCTGTTGTTTGCTGCTTCGAGAGTTGTCCAGCGTGCGAGCGACTTAACGGAGAGATTTTTTAATGGATATTCATAGCTGATTGGGAGAGACCATGGTATACGGTTCAAGATGCATGTTGCTTTCGCTGCGTGATGTGACACACCTTGCATTTCTCTCCTCTTTTCCTTTTCTCTGTCTCCTGCATTGGCGCTACCCACTCGTTGAAGGTCCTGGCGACCTCGGCGTTAGCGTAGAGCGACCCCGCAATACCCTCAGGTCAACAGCAGCAGCAGCATCAGTACGAAACTCCAACCACCCACCACCCACACACACACACACACACACAATGCGCCGCAGCGTCCTTTGCCGCCGGCTGCACTACCCCAATCAGGTCTTCATCAGTAATGATTACCGCCGCATCCAGCATCAGTGGCTGCCGCGCCGCCTCCTTCTCGTTCGCCACGGCGAGTCCGAGGCGAACGTGAACCGCGAGGTCTACAGCACCACGCCGGATTGGAAGATTCCACTGACACAGCTGGGCCGCGAGCAGGCCTTCGACTGCGGTAGGCGTCTGCGCAAAATCATCCAAGACGAGCAGCTGTACATTTACTACTCCCCGTACGCGCGTACGCGGCAGACTCTGGACGAAATCCGCCGCAGCTTCGACGAGTCGCAGATCCAGGGCGAGCGCGAGGACGAGCGGCTGCGCGAGCAGGAGATGGGCAACTTCCAACCCATGGCGGACATGGATCGCACGTGGGCCACGCGAAACAAGTTCGGCCGGCTCTACTACCGCTTTCCTTTTGGCGAGAGCGGTGCCGACGTCGGCGATCGCGTGTCGGGCTTTTTCGACTCCTTATCGCGGGAGCGCGTCGGGCTCACCGTGCCAAACATGAACGAGCGGCTGATGCAGGGCGCGCGGGAGGAGCTCGGGTGCCTGGGGTTGGGCAGGTGGAGTGGCGCGGCGGACGGCCTGCCTACGAGGTCGGTCGACCCAATTGCCGAAAGCGCCGCCGCCGCCGCTGCACCACCACCAGGAGGAGGTGATCATCAACCGCGAAAGGCAACTTCATCTGCTCCTGTGAGCGCAACGACACCGCCGGCAGCAGAGATGGAGGCGCCCCGCCACTTGCCCCATCCCTTCACCCCCTCGCTTTCGCACCCGGGAGAGGCGAACGTACGCGGGGTGCTCCCGCCAAACGACCACGGCGCCGGCGCCGGTGCGGATCAGAACGTTCTCATCGTCGCACACGGGTTGCTCATCCGCCTCTTTATCGGCCGCTGGTTCCGCGTGCCGATGGAGGTGTTCGACACGATGTGCAACCCTCCCAACTGCGCCATTGTGGTGCTGGAGCGCAACGACGACATTGGCCGACTCGTCATGACGGACATAAGCAAGGGATTCTTCGGCAGCGATCCGCTGCTGCAGATGATGAAGTTTGACGGTCAGGAGGATACGCACTGGTACCGACAACGGTTCCTCGGGATTGTCGATCCAACGAAGGCCGCGGCGGAGGCGCTCGCGGAGGACGATGACGAGAACCACTACTCGAAGTCGGCGGCCCACTACCGCTCCGTCGGGGCGCCGGACTCTCGTGTGCGCCGGGCTGGACCCGCCCCCTCCCCTGCTGCCTCTTCTTCCCGCCTGAGTACTCCAACACCACCTCCAACGATGGCGACTGCTGCTTCTCGAGACGCGACCACAGCGAATGAGGGTGCTCGCGGGTCTGGAAGTGGTCAAAAGGATGAAGTGACAACGAATAGATGAGCGCACAGTGGCCGCGTGGAAATGCCTTGAGGTCGCAATGCATGTGGTGTCTCAAGCATACAGAGAAGAGGTGTCAGGCAGGGAGAGCGAATCTTTGCCGACAGCACTGTGTAGGCAGAGGCTGAGAAAATCGTTCACGGGGCTCAGCTTCGGCTCAGTGCAAGTTGCCGCGTTGAGATGAGATCAACAAGAGAGAGAAAACTAATTCAGGAGAATGCTAGCGAGCGCTTCTCCTTTTAAAAAAAAATATGTTTTGCCTGTCTTGGTTTCTTTTTGTTTTAATGCTTGATTTCTCGTATTCGTCTACGCTGCTTTTATTAAATGAAAGACACAATGCATTTCCTATTAACGGAGTCGGATGATTCAGCTTTGTCTGCTGCACAAACTGACCGTTGCGCACTGCGAGAAAAGAAGCGGCACGGAAAGCTAAGCGACTAAGTAAACAGTAGAGTACGCATTAACAAGTATTTTCTCCCTCTCTCCCCCTTTCCTTTATTCCTCCTCTTGTGTGCATTCTTTCCCTCGCCCATCAACCCTTTTCACCCACACCCAGTCGCTCCCAGCACAGTGCACGCTCTCTTCATATTGACTTTCCCTTTCCCTTTCTCGCTTTTGAATACTCCTTCGCAGACCTTTCCTCGGCCTTTTCACCGTTTGTGCCTGGCGTGGCTATTTGACACCTCGTGGCCATTGGCGTGGAGTTGCGCTGTCGAATTGGGGACCTTCTGTGCAGAGCTCAACTGCGTTTCGAGCGAGCGTTGCGGCTTTTAAACAAGCACGAGAAAAACAAGATCCAAGGGAAAGAGCCACCAAACGGAGCATTCCGGTTTTTTCTTCTTCCCTGCGCACTAATTCGGTGGCTTTATTCGCCTTTGCTGTCATTTGCCCTGTTCTACTGCTTAATAATAATACCAAAAAGCTTTCCCCGTTTTTCCTTCCTGCTGATCTCTCTGTGTTCACGTACGCCCTGCTGATGATGCAGAGATGCGTGTGCAGTATCGCCTATCAGGATCGCATGTGCTGCACCACACCATGTCGTCCGCCTGCTCTGCCCCTCACACCTATTTGCTGCGTGTACAACACTCTCTGCCCGGCCGCGCCTTTTCTTGCCGATTGATTTCTCCCTTCCTCGCTGCACCACGCTACGGCAGCACGCCATCCGTGTTGAGTTGCGCGTGCCGACGCATGAGCAGTGGGCCTTCGCAAGGGCCACCACAGTTCCCAAGCGGGAAACCGGCCAGCGCCTTCACAGTGAACGATGTGAAGGAGTCGCTGGACACGCCGGAGTGGGTGTCGACGCCAAAGCAAAACGGTGAAAAACGCATGTCGGTGTCCATTCGCAGTGGGGCGCAGCGACGACGTGCACGGCGGCCACCGAGCGCGCCACCGCACTCCCCATCGCCACCACCACTACCGCCGCCGACTTCTTCGATTCATCCGTCTTCCATAACGCAGCCGGCAGCGCAAGGTACCGCCCAACCAACAAAGACCGACGTTCCGCGCAGTCCCTCTGGATCGTCCGCAAACGTGAAATTACGTCCAGCGGCAGACGCGCGAGCAACGGCTTCTTCTGCGTCGCCGTCTCCGTCTGCCGCCTCTCTCTCCGATTCAGGGCGCAACACGAGGGACCCGAATCACCATCACGACGTCGCTCCACCACCGGCGGAGACTCCATCCACGTACATCTCCAAAACGGATGAGGGATATCCGGAGAGGTTCTCCTCACAACGAAACGCAAGTGCTGCAGCTGCTTCTGATGTCGCCTCATCGCACCCGCTGCTCTACTCCGTTTCTCGCTTCACCGAGCCGGTCAAGCGAATTATTCTCATCCGCAACGGTCGCAGTGAGGCGAACGAGGACGTCGCCGCCTACGTGCACACCCCCGACTGGCGCATCCCTCTCGTCGAGGAGGGCAAGCACGAGTCCATCGCGGCTGGCCGTGCGTTGAGTGAGCTGATCGGCAACGACCCGGTGTACTTCTACTACTCGCCCTACATCCGCTCTCGGCAGTCCCTGCGCTACGTCTTGCAAGGCTACGACGAGGCGCGGCTGAGTGGACGATCGCGTACGCGGGAGTGGTGGGAGGATGAGGAAGGTGAAGAGGCTGACGTCAGCTTCGCGCCGTTCCCGGAGACGCGGGGCGCACTGGATGAGCTGCCATTGGAACGGGCAGGGGCGGCGACCACCTCCACCGAGACGGCCGGCTTTCGGGGCGGCGAGGTGGGTGATGCCGTGCCCACCGCCTCCACGTCCCACACCGCGCCTGCCACCTTTCTGCAGAAGGACGCGTCCCTTGTTTTGAACCGCGACACGAGTGACAGCATCATTGGCGTGCGCGAGGACGTCCGCCTGCGCGACGGCGACATTGGGCGCTACACCACCGTTGAGGAGCTCATGCACCATCTGTTGGAGCGTGAGCGGTACGGTAAGTTCTTCTACCGCTTCCCGTACGGCGAGAGCGGCGCCGACGTGTGCGACCGTGTCACGTCCTTTCTTGACGCTTTCCAGCGCGAGCGAGTGGAGTTTCCAATGAACACGAACGTGGTCATCATTACGCATGGACTGACGATGCGCATGTTCATCAAGCGGTGGTTTCACTTAACGGTGGACACCTTCCACCGCATGCGGTCGCCCCCGCCCGGCTCGCTGTGCACGTTAACCCGGCTGCACCACCGCAGCTGTTTCCGGCTGGACGAGAGCTGCGTGGAGTCCATGCATTTGCCGCTGTCGTTGAACGAGTACAACGGGTATAAGTATCGGAACAAGCAGCTGCTCGGCTCCATGAGCTCCGGGGCACCGTACATGTAAGGGCTGCGGTGCAGTTTTGCTGGTCTTTGTTGTGGCGCTTCTCCCTCTCGGGTTGTGTGTTTGAAATGGTATGGGCTTTTCCTGCAACAATGGACAACGAAGCAGAGGGAGCGCAGGGCGAAGGGCGAACTGGAGGTGCAGCGAGGGGGTTTGCGCTTCGGGTTTATACCCAAAGAAGGGAAAGAAAAGCATGCCTTCAAAGGACTCTTTGACGTTTGAGGAGCTTCGCCTCAAGCCAACTTTTTCTTTAGTTTATACGTGCTTTATGTACCACTTTCGTTCCTGTGAAGTGGCACTTGCCTTGCTAACGTCTCTTTCGTTTTATATTTTCCAGCTTTTAAGTGTTGTGTGGCTTGTAGGTGTTGAAGCAAGAGTCGCGGCATAAAAGAGAATGACGGGGAGAGACGAGAAAAATGAGGCTCCGTTCTACGCTAAGGTGGTTTTCTCCATGACACCCTTATGATGCGCTGGGAGGTGGGGAGTGCTCTTCTGTGGACGGAAGTGGGAAGCATCTACGAGATTCACTTGCAGCCGTCATCACCTTGATGATGATGAGGTCTCTCCATGCCTTTATTAAAATAGCCTCTTCCATCATTTCATCATAATCTTTTACCTCTCTCCTCCTCTTCTCTTCTTTCCTCTACTCGGGAGCATCTGCTGATGCACACGGCTCTGGAAGTGTCGCCTTTTCCCTTGTTCGAAAAGGAAAATAAAGAGTAAGTTGTCCACCTCTTTCTGTCTCTCTCCCACCTCCTTCGTTAGCGGAAGCAAGAGGGCAAAGAGGGAACGGTGAGCTTAATAGTAGCATCGGCACGAGCTTGAAAGAAGACCCATAATGAAGTGTGTTGTGTGTGAGGCGGAGAAGGCGAACTACCGGTGCCGAACGTGCCGCTCTGCGTACTGCTCGTCTGCTTGCTACAAGAGGCATCGCATGTCGAGGGAAGAAGCGGAAGCCGTGGCAGCTGCCACTCATGTGGTAAAAGACGAGGACAGCACGGCAGGGGCTACGGCAGCGAAGTCGTACGCCTCAAATCTGGACTACCTCTGTGAGAACATCACAGCGGCGCAGCAGCCAGAAATGGAGCGCGAGACGAAGCGGCAACGCACCGAGGCGGAGGCGGACGTCTTCTCCGATCTCTCGCGCGAGAAGGCTTCAGCGAGCGGCCAGCGTGCCCGTCCAGGCGAAGCGCCCTCCGCCGCCTCCTCCCCGTTAACGACGATGGCAACACTGCCGGTGTCACCCAGCAGCAATAGCACCACCACCACTGCAGCAGCATCAGCTACGGAATCGAATCCAGCGTTGCAGCCACAGCCGCAGTGCTCTGATGACAAGCAGCAGCAAGGTCAAGAAGAGGAAACGAAGGAGAGTGCAGCGGCAGCATTGCAGCCACAGCAGGCCGCCTCGACAGGACCAGCCACAACAGACAGGAAAGAGGAAGAGGAAGTGGCCGTAGACGCGGATGCGGTGTACATACTCCAGGAAAAGCACCTCCGTGCGCTGGTCAGCGACTCCAACGTCCGGAATGCGCTGCGGAGTCCGTTGCTGCAGAAGTTAATCCGCACAATTGATTCAAGCCGTTCCCGCTTAGACGCTCTCGACGCCGCGCAGTACAATAATGCGGATTTTAAGCAGTTCTGCAACGAAGTCATGCGCGTCATCGCAAGAGTAGAAGGACGATGAGAGGAGAGGTGTGAGACAAGAAGAGGATGATCTCTTTTTCTTCTTCCTCTTTCAGTTCTGCAAGAAGAAGGCGATTCGGCTTGCTTTGGAAAGGCTCCGAGATCTGCCGATCGAGCTGTAATCGTAAATAAAAGAAAGCATACAAAATGGATTCCATTCAAATAACAGCAAGGAGCTGCAATTGACCTCACGTTGAACATCACCGCCTGTCAAACGAGCTGTGGCGTGCACGTCATCACAACTACGTGCGTTGAAGTGTGCGACCTCGCGAGAATCTCTCTCCTCTTTTTATCATGCTCTTCCTCCACCAAAAAAAAAAACTGCGTTTTCTCTCTCTTCATTCTTTTCTATTTCTCCTTTATCATCTCTAATGCACCACAGATTCCTTTTTTTGTATCTTAATACACGCGCGTTACAACAGCTAAGGTGTCCGCCGCGTACCGTCGCCTCTTGTGTTGGGATTCACTTCTTCTAGTTTTTATTTTCATTCGGTCTAAGGAATAATTCGATCTTTCTCCCAGCGGTTTTGTGCTGCGTTGCTCCCGGCCAAGGGAGAAGAGAAAAGAGCCTATTCCTTTCGTTTTGTTTTTGTTCTTTTGCGCATTGGTCACGTTGTGGATTCTTTCTTTTTTTTTTTCCATTTTCTGCTTTTTAAAACTATCTGACTTTTATTCATATATATTTATTTTCTTTTCTTGCTTCTTTGTTGAATCGAATACGTCTGCAAAGAAATCGAAGACGACGCTCGAAGTATTTATTTATTTGGTTGTTTTCCGCTCTCGCCTCGAGCAGCCCAACCTCAAATTTCCACGTATGTGAACTTGGTGGATAAGATAAACACACACACACACACATACATATATACTATAGAATGTCAAAAAAATATATATCAAGTAGTTAAAAACAAAAAACGGTCTTTGGCTTAGACTGGACATATCTGTCTAAACTCATCAAAAAAAGAAACCCCCTCATATCAAACGTCGTTCACGTGCATTTTTACTGATTCTACACCGTTTGCGACTTGTCCAACAAAACGCATATTTACCTATTTTTCTTTGCATAAAGTAAAGTAAAAAGCCTCTGCTTATCGTTTGCCGAGGTCGTGAGAACGGAGTACTTACACATACATATTTGCCTCTTACTCTCCACCAAAAAGAAAAAATATATAAAACACTTAAAAGAAACCCCGTACTTTTGCTCCTGAGCGACTTAACGATTTCCCGGTCGTTCTCTTCTTCTTCTGTTTTTCATTTTGATTTGTTTAAAAAAAGAATTGCTTTCTAGTTTTCCGTCGTCTTGCATGGATTCAATCTTTTGTCTCTTTTTTATTTATCTGTAGGTGAAAGACAAGTTGTCTGAGTCAAGCTTTTTCTTCTGCGCGGAAGTTTTCTGCGTGCAGTTTGTCGACCTCTTGTTCTATTTCCGAATTGGTTTCCTCGAAGAGTAATTAACGAAGGAGTAGGAGGTGTGAGAGAGAAAAGAAAAATATTTATATTTAAGGAAAGGGTGATAGACGCGGTTCATTATGCTGTTCCGCGGACCGCACGATAGCGGCGACGTCGGCGCTATCGGCCCCCGCACCGACAACGAGCACAGCGGCGATGAAGACGAGACGTGCTCGACTAGCGGCCGCAGCTACACCAGCGCCGAGTCCGCCACTGCGCAGAGCTTCGAAATGCGTATGGCCCAGCTTGACGGCAACGGCAACGGCAGTCTTGGCAGCGGTAGCTTTCCCGGTGAAGACGCCAGCAATCGCAAGCTTCTCTCCCCTGGCTACCAACTCTTCCCTTCAGGCGACAACTTGTATGGGAACTTGCACGGCGAGGGAGAGCAGGGTGGCGGTGCAGGCGCGTTACTCTCCGGCACCCGTGCAAATGATTACCCCGAAGAAGACGAGCGCGACGATGACTACCTGGCGGCGCTGCTGAGCGACATTGAGCGGCACGCCGCGCGCCTTGACACACAGTTTTTTCGCTACCCGACGGCGGAGTCGTTGAAGCAGCAGCAGCTGGCCACGCAGGCCGCCTCAACGGAGGGACACGGGAAGGGCTCACCCACTGCCGGTGGTGCGAAGACGAGCGACGTGGCGACGACAGGCGAAGGGGTCACAAAAGCCGAATCTACCGAAATGGCTGGCGCGCACAATGCAGGCAACGAGGCTGCACCCACTGCTGCTACCAACGCCTCGAGCACCAACCACATCAGCAATGGTGCCCCGGGCTCCTCGCACAACACCGGCACGAAGCTTTTCCTGGGTGGACTGCGTTACGAGGTCATTCAGAGCGGCCGCCACACGGTCAGCTGGATCTTTCAGGTTGCGTGCGGTGTCCACATCAACCCCTCCAGTATTTTGATCCACCGCAAGACAAAGAACGGGCGGTCCAACGTCGCGCCAACTGGGTGTGCCTCCGTCTTTATGGCGGACGACAACGACGTGGCGACGCTGCTCGATATGAATCAGCGCATCTACTGCGCCGAGGAGGGCGTGTACGTGTCGCCGTCCCCCGATGTGATGAAGGAGCTCATTGCATCGAAAGACATCGTGGACGTCACGGGCGGTCGCGTCCGCGGCCCAACGCACCCGGTGGTGATCGAGCGTGCCTACAGTGTGAGCCATCACCACGGACACCACAACAGCAGCAACAGCGCCGCCGCCGGTGCGAACAGCAGTGCTGGAGGGACAGCAGCAACAGCCAAGGGCGCTGCAGCAGCTCGCGGACACGGCGGCAACGCAGCTGCGTCAGGCGGGGCTGCCGGAGGCGCAATCGCGGGGACAGGCGGTGCAGGTAACAGTAAAAGCAATGCAGGGAACGCCTCGGGTAGCGGCGCCCACCGCCACGCCCGCACACCGTCCGGCGCCAGCGCGGAGAGCAACTTGTCGAATCAGCTCATGGGTGGCATGCCGCCGCCGTATGGAGGGGCGATGCCACCGCAGTACAGCGCGTCGAACGTATCCTCGGGTGTTGGCACCTACCAGCCTCCTTCGTACGCGTCATCGTCGGGCTCGAGCAGCAGCTTGGGTGCCCCGGCGATTGGCTTGCCGATGATGGGGACCAGCCCGAGCGGCTTTCCACCCGGCACAATGATGCTGTCCGGGCAGTCCTCGTCGTCCATGTCGCAGATCCTCGACGACGGCCGCAGCTCGAACGCGGTCGGGCCGCTGAAGCTCGATCCGCAGCGTGTCACCTTCCACGCCTACCTACGTGGAAACAAAACGGAGGAGCAGAGCCCGAAAGACGGTGGTGTCGGTGGTAGTAGCGCCGAGCCGTCCGGTGCCCCAACCGCCGTCGCGCACACCGTTCTCTTCCTCGCCGCCCTACCCTCCGATGCCACGGAGGACTACGTCTCCTGGCTCTTCTCTCTCATGTCCATCGCACTTCCCGCGGCGCGGATTCACATCATCGGCGGCGATACCACCTCGCCCACAAACGGACCAGGTGCGGCGACGACGATGGCGGACTGCTGCGCCACCGTCAGCGTCCCAGAAGGCGACGTCTCCATCGCTCTCAACTTCCACCACCGCGTGCTCTGCACTGCGCGCGGGTCGTGGATCGGGTACTCGGTGCAAGACATCGCGGCGTTGCGTGCGAGCGACCCATCCCTGCGCGACGTTGCCGCCTTGCACGTGGATCGACGCATGCTCTCGAAGAGCGGGACAGGCGGTGGCGTGAATGCCACTTCCGCGGCGGCGGCGGGTGGCGGTTGCGGTGGGTTTGGCGCCCTTTATCCGCATTCTCTCGCCATGGGCGGGGTGGGCGGCCGCGGTGGGCCGAGCAGCACTGCCGGTGCGTCGATGCTGCCGCCACCGACGTCGTACCCGCCAATGTTTGGGTCGATGCAGCTGCCTGCGGGGATGCCGGCGGGACCGGGCGGGGTGTTGCCCATGGCCGCGCCGTGGGGCTTCGCGCCGCCGCACCCGACGAACATGCCGCCGCCGCCACCGCCGAGTGGGGTGATGGGGGGCGGGGTCCGCCGTGCCTGCCTCCCGGCGCCGTGCCTATTTCAACGGTGCTGTCCGCCGAGTCGGCCTACTCCATGCCGCCTCCCCCGCCGCCCTTTTCGTTTACGCAGAGCGTGACGATCGGCGACCGCACCTACCAGCTCCCCCCCGGCGCAACGGTGCAGTACGTGCCGGTCATCACATCGAACCAGGGCATGCCCATTGCGGGCGAGGCGAATATGAACATGGGCGCCATGGCATCGGCGGAGCGCATGACCAGTACGTCCCCGCGTACCTCCACGACGGGCAACGAGAGCGCCGATGGATCTGTTGGGTCCCACACGAGTCTTTCGCCTCATGCCGGGCCGCTTAGCTGAGCACCAGTGAAGAGGAGCAGCAAACAAAACACAAAAAGAGAAGGCAGAAAAGAGAATGCTGTGTGGAGGTATTAAATATAAATATAAATATAAATATATATTTGTATATTTCTCTTGACCCTTGCTATTTTTTCCCCCTTTTCCCCCTCTTTATTTCGTTGATTCACGGTTTGGTGGGGTTTTGCACTGAATGGGTTGTGTCACGCCACTCTTTTGCTTTCTTCTTTAAAAGCAAAAAAAAAAGAAACACGTCTGGTCGACGCGTGCTCACCAAAGGCCTCTGCTTGCTGCGGAAAGAAGAAAACCACTGTTGCAAAGATATTCCTACACACTCCAGCTGTTGTAGTGTAGATATATATATATATATATACGTTTTTTTATTGTACTCGAGCACTGTTTCGATTTTTGTTTTCTTTTAGGAATAGCCGAGGTGCAAGCTCTCCCATTTTTCTTCCCTTCTCGCTCCACAACTCCCATAGACACTTGCTTTCATAGAGCAGTTCTTACCGTTTCAAGTATCTACGTGGAAGGGGTGAAGGAAGTGCAGTAGGGCATTGAACTTTACGAAGCGCCGCATCAACTAAAACGCACTTAAAAGAAACAAAAATAGGTTTTCTTTGCACATGTGTCGCCCCCTGATTTCTGCGTCGTCATCAAGTGAAGAAGAATGTGATTTCACTGCGCTGTCGAACTCTTCTCTTCGCTTAGTGTTTTTTGCGATTTTCCGCGTTGCCCTCTATTTTTTTTTCTCTTTCCACCTTTTCTCTTTTTCTAAACTGTCTAACAGCGATGCAAGTAAATATATATAAATGGTGTAAGACTTGCCATGCTCAAGAATGCCGAACAGTGCACGATGGCTTTGAAATGCGTCTCGCTCGCTTAATGGTGAATGCACTGATGTTTCCTTTTTGTTATACTTAATTCGTATTTGCTGATGTCTAAGCTGTATCGTTGCTGGATTGGTTGTTAAAAAATAAAAAACGTCTGTTGAGTGCCGTTTTCCCTTTCCCTTTTTTCTTCCTGTGTGCACGTCGGTCGAATACCGATCTGTGTCGGTTCTAACACTCTAAGGCCCCTGTTGCTGCGATGCTGCTTGATGGAGTGGCACCGCAACTCTAAAGTTTTCCCTTCTTCCCCTTTCTATAATAATCCTTCCTGTTTTTGTGCAACTCGTGTTTTTCTCCTCCTCTCTTTTCCGGGGTTGCGATGAGCAGGGGAATAATCTCCTACAGATGCTCGATAACAATTTTACTTTTGTAGGCCGTCTCGCTTCTTCTTTTCCGTTTTGTTTTTCACTTTGAGTTTCTAATGTGGTTCCAAAAGAAAAAGACAAATGCCCCCCAAAGAAAGTGAAAAGGCGAAGCTCCGCCGCCGTTCTGCATGTATCGCTGTGGCCGTCATAACGGCCAAACACACATCAACGAAAAAGAGCGGAGAGCCAATGCGGTATCGCCTCTTCACACACAATGAGAGCTGTTTCGAAGCAGTTCTTCGCTTAACTCCCTCTCCCACAACAAGCGAGAACAATACCGTGAAATGAGGAAGAAAAAATAGAAAAGGCCATTTCGTTGCTCTAATACCTCGCTGCTCGTCATCCTCTTCTTCTTTTTCTCATGAGTCGCATGCACACTACCATACCACTTGAAGAGCCGGTTGACGGGTTCATTCCTTTTCCTTTTTTTTTTCATTTACATTTGCGAGACGTGTGGGGACGGCGAGACAGACACTAAAGACCGTCGTGTTGTCGTCTACTGTTTCCACATCCAGAGCAACACCAACAACAAGACCCCTTCTCCCCCTTCCGCACGCACAAAAATAGTAATAGTTAGAGAGGCTGCACACCACAACCTTACAGGGTTTTTTTTTTCCTTTTACATTTTGCACTTGCAAGTTTCTACCCACTTCATTATTACGTGTAGACGCTTGTATATACATACACTTCGTTGCTGATTGGCCGCAACGCAACGGGGGCTCCCCCACTTACATTAGTCACGTTGATCTTTGTTTTGTCAGAGTCACACACGCACACGCACACGCACGATTGCAGGAAGCAAAGAAGTAAAAAGGAAAAACAAAACTGTAATACCTCGGCGCCGTTTTAGACACGATGAGTATTGAAGTTCACGTGCGCATCCGCCCTTCGGTGGGCAACATCGTCTGGTCCAGCGCAGAAACAGTGCTGTACAGCACCGCCAACCCCAACACCCGCTACGTCTACAACAAGGTGCACCCGAGCAACAGCACCAATGCTCTCATTTTTCGAGAGATGGAAGCCATCGTGCACGCGGGCTTCGACGGCAAGAACGTGACGGTGATGGCGTATGGGCAGACCGGCAGCGGCAAAACCCACAGCATGATCGGCGTGGACGACGACCCCGGCATCGTGCCACGAGCCGCCAAGCTTCTCCTGGAGCTGAAGCGCAACTCCCCCGGCACCACCATCAAGGCTTTCTACACGGAGATCTATAACGAGACGGTGCGAGACTTGTTAGACACGAACCAGACGGAGTTAGCCCTGCACGATGCCCCTGACGGAGGAGTCGCCTTTGAAAAGAAAATGATCGACGTGCAGTCCTACGAAGACTTTCTCAAGCTGCAGAATGCGGCGGAGCGGAACCGCAAGTACGGCGTCACGAACCTGAACGAGCACAGCAGTCGCTCCCACATCATCTTGACCTTTGAGATACACCGCGTGAACCGCCTCGGCAAGACAGTGATCAACCTGGTCGACCTCGCCGGCTCGGAGTCCGCGTCGCGCGCCAACACGGAGGGTCTCTCCCTACGCGAGGGCGGCTACATCAACCGTAGTCTGCTGACGCTCGGCAACGTTGTGGATGCCATCGTAGAAAAACGCCCTTATGTGCCCTACCGCGATGCGAAGCTCACGCGCATCCTGCGCACCTGTCTGGGTGGGGTGGGCATCACGTTCATTCTCTGCTGCGTCAACCCCTCGCGCGAGAACTTTGACCAGACGGTGGCGACCCTGCGGTTCACGCAGCGGGCCATGAAGATCAAGAACGATCCGGTGGTGCTGTTGAACATTCCGCCCTTCTTCACGCATCAGTACAGCGACGGCGCACGGCAGCTTATCGAGGGACTAAAAGAGTCGGCGGAGGCGGAGTACCAGCGGGGACTGCAGGACTCCTACTTCTACTGCAACACCACGGTCGGCTCGGTGGTGGGCAACTACCACACGCAGGTCTCCGACTGCTTGCACTCCCTCGCCAACGGGCAGCGGCTGCTCGTGGCGCACGACCACGCTATGGCGATTGACCATATCGGCCGCCTGTACAACCAACTAAACGACCTCACGCGACAGCGCACCAAGAACAAGGAGTTGGCGGAAAACGAGCGGAAACGGCAGGGCGATATCACCACGGAGCGCGAGAGCCGAAAGGTGAAGATCGCCAAATTTGAAGAGGAGCTGAACGCGAAGCTGGCCGCGGTGGACGCGGACATGGCCAACTGGGAGTACCAGCTCTACGACGCACGGCAGAAGCAGCGCAGCGACGTGGATGTGCTGCTTCAGTCGGAGCTCGCGCGACGGGCGCGGATTCAGTACGAGTGGGCGGTGTGCTTTGAGCGGGTCGCCTCTCGCTTTGTTCCCGTTCTGCGAAATGGCTTGACAGCGCTCAAGGAAAAGCTGATTCAGTCCACCGCGGCAGACGGAGAGGCTGGGTCAGCCGCCCTGCCTGTCGTGCTGCTCTCGCAGGAGGACGACAGCAGCCGACTCGCGCTGCAGCTGAAGGAGCTGCGGGTGGCGCTGGTGAAAGCGCGGGATGAGGTGGCTGATCTCGAGACGGCCCACGAGATGGTGCGTGACGACATCGAAGAGGCGAAGCGGCAGCAGCAGCAGCAATGCCAAGACATGCGGAGTTCTGCCTCGGTGTCACCGCAGCCGCGGCCAAATCTGGCCGACATGACCGAGGAAGAACTCATCACCTACTACCGCGGCGTCCCTGACAGTGACGTAGAGGAGCGCATTCATCGATTAGAACGAGAGGAGAAGGCACTGATGGCACAGGCGCGACGCGGGGTGCGTCGGGAGAGCCTGCGCCGGGTGCGTGAGAGTCTGCGTGTGTCGCGCGGCAGCCACGGCAGTAGTCGTTCCCCACAAGGAGCAGGTGGCGGCGGCGTGACCATCACCCGCCGACCCGATCTCGATGCCACGGCAGGGGGGACGTCGTCAAACACTACGACTACAGCAAGTCAGCAGCAACAGAAGCAGCAGCGTGGGCGCGGCGATGCAGAGAGCCGTGCGATGGAGTCGCACGCGCAGGTGGAGGCGCGCGGGCGGCGCAGCTCCACAAGTTACGCGGATGGCGTAAAAAACGCGCTGTCCATTCTGGATAGCCTCAAGGCACAGCTGCAACGTAAGGTCGGCGGCATCGCAGCTGGTGGTGGTGGTGGTGGCCACGCTTCCCCCACCGTTGCCTCTGCGAGCCGTAGTCAACAGAGTCGGCTGCAGCGGCAGGAGTCTGCGACGTCCACGCAGCGGCACCGCAGCACCAGCGGCAACAGCGACGGGCGGAGGCGACGAGGCGGGAAGACGGGCACGAATGTCGAGGAGACGGCGGTCTATCACGACCCGGAAGGAAGGGAGGCAGAGGCGGAGGGGCCCGCAGACGCCGTCGGTTCGTCGGACCGCCCTCATGGACGCCAACGAGACGCCTCGGCTCGTCACCGCTCCAGCCCGCCGCGGACAACGGGCAACGCCGGGGCGGCCCATAAGCGGCCGGCGGCGGCACCCAACGCAAGCGATTCCGTGGACTCAGAGAACATGACTCTCGCCGAGCTGTATCAGGCCTCCGTGGGGAAGGAGAATTGGAGTCGGTCGAAGCCGACCGGTGCGGCGCGACCGACGAACAAGTACACCGTGATTGAGGCGGACAACGCTGCCTTTGACGTGGATGGTGAGGAAATCTACGAGGCGTACGCAGGCGGCGACGTCGATGATCGCCATCTTACGAGCTCAACCCCGGTGGGGATTGCGGCGAGACGGAAGATGGAGCGGCAGCATTCGCGACCCGCAGTGGAGCGTGCACTGTACTCGCTCAACTCGAATTCGCACTCCCCCTCGGCCTCCGTGGAGCGTCGTAGCCGTTCGCGGCGCGCATAGCGGGTGAGAGAAAGTCAGATTTGTTAATGAACAATATCGGTCTTTTGGCAGCACACGCAGTTTTTTTTCCTTCTTTCCCCTTCATTGAGACACTTTGGTTTGATTTGTTTCGTTTGCCGCTGCTTTGCTCTCCTTTCCCTTATCTCTGTTTACGTTATAGATGCCTTCTTACTACATTTTTTTTTCCCCTGTGTATATTTTAGATACTTCATAGATGCGCGACCTGTATCTCCTCTAGATTATACCCGCTGGCTTCCTACTCGATTTTTTTTCCTGTTTTCTTTCACCTGCATGCTTCTCACCACTCCCTTCTCCCCCCGCCGCTTTGCCACGGTGGAGAGAAGCGAAAGAGCATCAGAATGGGAAAGGGACACGAGGACGAAGCACAATTCGTACGTTGGAGTTTTTTCTTCTTCCAAGGATGGGTCAAAAGAAGAAAAGAGAAACTGCTGTAAAAACGATGCGAGTGTGCGTGGTGCACCCCCATCTTAAATGTGCTGTGGTTGCCACCGTTGCGCGCCACATGCAGTTCTTTTTGGTGTCTCTTTCCTCTCTGGTTGTGCGTTGCTGCGACGCAGCACAGCTCGCTGGTTGGTTTCATCACAAACACGGCGAACCGCCCCCTTTTTTCAGGTCGCCGACGGAGATGCAAGGCTCACTGTTGGGACGGTGTCTGCTATTTGTTTTGGGGTGGGTGGAATGTGCGTGCACTCCCCGCTACCCGCAAGAACTCAAGTGATTTCTTTTCTTTCCTCTCTCCTCTTCTCTTTTTGCGGTTTCTGCGTTGATGGAAACTGCTGCCCCCTCCTTTCTCCTCCCTCCCTCCCACACACACGCACATGTTCGATTGTCCACGACGACAACGAATTTGTTCTCAGTGCTCTTACTGTCTTTGTGAATCAAACACACAAGAAAACTCTCATTGCCCGCAGCGAAAATCTGAAAATAAACTAACATCCACGTATAGATTTGTCTCACTCCGTCACGGGACCGTTTTTGTTTTTCCCAATCTACTTCTTTCTCTTACTATTATTGATCTCTCTCTCTCTCTCTATCTATATAGAGATACAGTAACGTTCTGGATTCACGTTGTCCGCGTTGGGGCTCGATGAAAAGTCGTAACTGCGTGACTTTCCCTCTCTTTTTTTTTTTGTGTTCCACCAACATCACCGTTTTTTTTCCTCTAGTTTACTGCTTTAAGAAAACAAATTTCCCTCGTTTGATATTTTGAACCCCAGGCAACTGCATGCATTGTCGAAACCTGTTAACGTAGATCGGACACCTATTTATTTCATACACACACACATAATCGGCGGCGCACGGCAGCCAGCTACGGTTTGGAGCGCGTCGTCATCTTGACGCTGAAGCCTGACAAACCGGTGCGTTTTTCAGCGTCGCTTCCGTTCACCTTCAGGCGGTAGCCAAAAGGAAGGGTGAGAGAACAGAAGTAGCAGCAACGGAAACGGGTTCCTTGAAAGTGAAGAGCGAACGTTGCCGCGTTGCAAGAGGGAGGAAAGCCTTATATCTATATCTATACCGTTTTATTACCCCGGAAGACTTCTGCGGAGGGGTTCTTATACAGCTCCCCTTAGCACAATTGAAAAGGAAGAGAAAGTAAAAGAAAAATACGAAGCCTCTCATGCCTACCAAAAAGAACACCTACGACGTCTCCACCACGGTGGAGGCGCTCAACACGAGTTTCCTGTTCGGCCCCGACTGCCACATCGACCGCGTGATGCCCGACGGCGCGCGTGAGCTGATTCGCGGCGTCGTCGGGAACTCCCGTGTGACGGCCGTGAATGGTCAGGTGGTGGCCGGCAGCGGGGACCTGAAGGAGGCGTTGCTGGCGGCGGTTGCACGGCACAGCGGCGAGGCGGCGGGCAGTGCGAAGACGCCCGGGCTGCCGGACTTCTCGGAGACCCCGATCGTCGTGACGTTCGAGCGGGCCGACGAGAGCGCACCGAAGATTGCAATCGAGGACAGCGTTCTTTGCAACGGCGCCGTCAGCAAGGTCGCCTCCCCCAACCCGGCCGCGGTCGAGGAGCTGCTGAGCGAGATGAAGCCGCCCTCCGCCAACGACCCGCCCCCGCCGCATATCGACATCGACGCCGAGCTCCGTGGCTCCTTCCGCCGCAGTATGATCGGTCATCCCTCCGGCACCCCCGCCCCGACGAGCTCCCCTACCACCTCTCGAAATCAAACCAGCGCGACGAGCTCCTTGGGCACCAGCGCAGCCACTGCCGGCGCGCGGAAGGAGCCCCTGGCGGCGCCCCGTAAGACATCTGGGGGCAGCGCGGTGCAGCCCGCTGCTCGCCGTCTCTGTTCACCGCCGCCGCCGGCTGCTTCGACATCCCACCACGGCCACCACGCGCGGAACTCTTCGTCGGACCTGGAGGAGGCGGAGACGCACTCCGAGGCCTCCTCGAGCGACTTCGACACTGTGCGCATTTACAATTTGCGTGAGTCGCCCGGGCCGGAGCAGACGGCGGCGCCCCCTTCCAACACGGCACACCCCGGAGAATCGCCCACACCGGGTCTGCTCGAGTTTGAGAAGATGAAGCTCTCAATGCGCGGCGATGACCTGCGCGGTCTCCTCCCCACCGCCAGTTCGAACCTGCAAACCACAAACGACGTGGCGGAGTTGACGCTGAAGGGCCGCATCAAGCGTGCCCTGGACCGCGTGCAGCTGGGCAGCTGCGTCATCTGCGTTACGCAGGACGTAAACCCTATTGCTGAAATTGAGCTGCTCGCCATGGCGCAGCAGAAGCGTGTGGTTGCCATAGACCTGAGCGTAAAGCTGCGACTTCGCCCGAAGCCGGAGGTGTTGGCGGTGCAGTTTGCTGAGGCCATGCGGTCTGGTGCGTGGTTTGTGATGGTCAACGCGCACAAATCGATCAGTACCTGCCTCGTCTTTCAGGAGCTCCTCGAGGATGCGCACGAGCACAAGCTCGAAGGCTTCGACCCCAACGCGCGCATCATCATCTCCCTCGAGCCCCACCCGCACTTCCCAAAAGGGCTGGCACACAACGCCATCATACTCAAACTCGTCTCCGCCTTCCACGGCTCCTCCATCTTGTCGGACTCGATGGCCGCCTCCATCTCCCGCACGCGCCTCGTGACGGCGGACGCGATGACGCAGTCGCAGATCTACGGCCGCAGCGTGCGCAACTCCGTCACCACACCGGTGCCGTCCACATCCGTGCAGAAGCCCGGAAAGAAACACGTGCGCATTAGCGCGGCGGTCGAAATTGTGGACATCGCACCGCGCGAGGTCGTCAAGCTGTCGAAGCGCGACTGCCCGATCGACGTCAGCGGCAGCGTGGCCCTCTTCAAGACGTTCAGCGGCGTCGACAACGACAAGTTTCTCTGCGTGCAGTCTGCCGGGGAGCCGGGCCGCTTCGCGGTGGGCTCGTCTTGCGGTAACGTCTACTTTCTGGACTCGCTTGGCAACTCGCTGCTGCAGGCCCACGCGCACAACGCCTCCATCTGGGATGTCAGCTTCAACGACAAGTTCCACTTCGCCACCGGGTGCGAGGATGGCACGTCGGCGGCGTGGAAACTTGGAGCTACCCCCTCCGGCGACGCTGCGAACGACGCCGTGCTCGTGCCGACCGCCGCGACCTCACTCGGTTCCGATGTGTACTGCGTGTGCTACCTGAAGAACATGAATCCTTCACCGCTGCTCATCGGCGGTCTGCACAGCAGTCTCGTCATCCGCGACGCGGGGAGCGACGCCGTGCATCTCGTGCCGATCCCCTCCAACGCGCAGGTGGTGGACTGCCTGCCGTCGTCGGCGACTGCCCTCGTCGGCGGAGGGGACGGTTCCGTCTGCGTGATTGATGTCGCGACGACCAAGCCGCTGGGCACGCTGGTCGACCACACCCGCAAGCTGCCCGCCCTCGCCGTGCGCGATGACAATCAGTTCTTTACCGGTTCCTTCGACAGCAGCATCTTGTCGTGGGATCTGCGGGTACCGGGTGGGGTGACGTCCTCCGTGCAGACCGGCGCAGCGGGATCGTCGGTTGTGACGGAGTTGTCGGCGCACACGATGCACACGCTGAAGCTGAAGAATTACGTGACCGGCTTAGATATCGACGATGTGCACCTTGCCGCTAATGTAGGTGAGAATTTGTACCTGTGGGATGTGCGCAAGCTGCAGACGGTTCTGGGAGGGTTCCCGCAGGGCTGGAAAGGGCTGTCGCGCGGCATCAAGGTGCAGAGCTCGGCGCACTTGATTGTGACTGCGTCTCCCGATGGCTTTGTGCGCTTCTGGAACTTCGTGTAGAAAACAACAAAGAAAGAGAAGAGCTACGTGGAAAACTTGCTTCACTCCGTGTGTTCGCAAGATACTGTACGCTCCTTTTTTTTTCCTTTCTTTCCCTTTTCCCACTCGTTCTCGTTTCTCTAACGCATCTCCATACGTCTTGTGCTGGAGGCCGACGATGCCGCGTCGCAACTGAATCTGTTTTCTGCCATTATTCCGTGTTCTGGCGCTACGTAACCTCTTTTTCTTCTTCCCTTTCTCGCGTTGTACCCTGAACTTTTCCGATGCTTTTTGCCTTCTCGTTTTACTGTCGGTGGGCCGCTCCTGTCTCTTGGGTGGTGGGGGTGTTTGTTTGTTTTTGGTGTGTCTCTACCTTCTTTTAAACTTTCCCGCATCGCGCGACTTGGTTTCCACGTTTGTTTTCATCTTCTTCTTCTTGAAATAGAGAGTACTCACGCTAGCAGCCGGAAAAGGCAGGCCTGCGTCGTGCAAGGGGGGACCAAAAATGCACCGGTACAAAATCCTCTCTCTTATATATATATATATTTTTTTTTATGTGTTGCTGGCTGTAACTGTTTTGTTGTTCTTCTCCTCAAAGTCGTTGTGCGACATCGTTCGAAGAGGACCGTGTCGTTTTAATACGTAAAGCAGTCGTAAGCAAAAGTGAAGACATGGAAAAGCAAAAAAAAAAAAGACCATTCGAAAACTTTTTTCTCCAGCTGCTGTGTTCTTTTGATTTCTCTCTGTGCGGGTCCCTCTTTTTTGGTTTCCTTTCTCGGTTTGCCTTGAACCCTTTCCTTTGCCCTTTTTTTTATAGTGCGCTACGGGCATCGTGTCCGGGCGTCTATATGTATCTATGTTCGTTGTGAGCAGTGGGGAGGGGGGAGGAGGGGAGGAGAGACTTCTACTTTAGTTGTCAGTGTTAGATACACTTTGTTTGGTTCACGGTTTATTGAGGTTGTTTTTATTTTCTTCTTCTCTTCTTCTTCTCCCCTTCCCCTCTCTTTCTCCCTCATCTAGTTCGCCAAAGCATTATGCTACGTGTTCTTGGTTTGGCGCCGAGGAAAGATGAAAAACAAAAGTATTTAACAGCCGTGAAGGGGTCTATCCTAGTGGAAGAACTGTCTAAACGTGCGTTTGGCCAAACAAACACACGCACACACACTCCTATTGCAGTGCTATTGAAAAGAGAAAGGTCGGAGATCGGTTCAGTAGATGTTGCGCGTTCTGTGTCAGTTCTATGTGCTATTTTTGAAGACCCCCCCCCCCCCCCCCCCTCCCGCCGCGCGGTGGCTTGTGGTGAGGTAAGCCGAGCGGATTCTTCTTTATTTGTCCTCTCACGCCGTAGCTATGGATTGTGTGTGTGAGAGAGAAGTGTTGTTTTGCTGTTTCGGTGCATTTGTGCTCATCTGTTGCCAAGGTTGTTCTTAGGTTTCATCCCCCTTTTTTTAGTGGCGTGGGCGGGGGGAGGGGTTCGCTTTGCGGTTTTTTTTTGTTATTATAAGGTTTTCCTTTGTAGTTGCTTGTGTGCAACCTCCCAACAGCCGAGCGTAGGCGATTATCCAGTCACGTGCTTTGCCTGTTCACAGACGCACACGCACACACATCAGTGAAGAGCGCAATGAAAAAAAAATATAATTTAATAGAAAGCAAGGGAGGTGCTTTTGTCGTACAGGGCGCACGAAGTGTACGAGTTAGTGAACATCATAGACGACGCGCATCAGCAGCGCTTTGAACCGACCGGCATGCTTTTGCTTCTCTTTGCCCTTTGGAAGACTCACTACTTCTTTTTTTTCTGTGAAATTGAAGAGGCACCTTCTTCACTGATCCGTCTTCTGTAGAGGTACCGCTGGGTCACAAGCACCTGTTCTTGCAGGCGAACAGCATGGCGCGGTGCACAAAAGGAATGCACGAGAAGCCGCACAATGATCCCTCTTCTAAACGCATAAGCGCCCTCCAACGCACCCCGTTGCCTATTTCTGACTGTTTTTGCCTCTGGCCTCGACTCTTTTCAATATATATATATATATATATATATATATATGTG